AACTTGTTCTATTATTTATTATCCTTGAAAATAAAAAACTGTACATTCATTTTTTTTCTTGCATAAACTTTTCATTTTAACTAGCAAAAACAAAATTAAAAAATTACCAATTATATTAATTGTTTATCTAATCAATAAACTATCCGTTAATGACTATCGTTAACTAGCAAAAACAAAATTAAAAAATTACCAATTATATTAATTGTTTACTCAAAAAACTATCTAATCAATAAACTATCCGTTAATGGTTTGATAATATGCTCTGCATGACGATATAACGATAGGGTCACGATCAGCCGCTTCTCGTATTACGATAAATTAAAATCATGCATCAAAATTTTGGTATATACGTATAACACTATTTATGTTTACTTTGGAACCTTCTAAAAGATAGAACAAATAGTTGGATCGCTTAAAAAACGTATGATGAAAAAACTGTTACGGTGATGTCGTTTGTCGCACGGATGAATTCGTTGAACGCCATTCATAGCATTGAAATTCTTCGTCTGGTTTGGAAGGGATATCACGGTTGTCAATCTTGTCAGACTAGATCTGGGACAAAGAATTGATTGTATACTAGAATGGCTGGAATAACTAATTCTATAACTTTGTGCGTTACATTGACTGTATAATGAATAACTTTTTCACTATTATCATAATAATTCGTATGCTTTAGGCTTGATTCTTCAAATACAAGTAAAATTGAATTTGATTTCTCTTTTTTGAAATGGAAACCTAGACTTTTACCATGGTACATGTTCGTACGGCAACTCATCCTTATAAAACTGTATCTAATATAAAGTAAGTATCAACATCCACAGCTTCTCGTCTACTTACAGGTACTTTCGACAACTCGGGTCCTACTCACATATCTCCATCATATTCTTGTTTTAAAAAAACATTATTGACAGCTCTTAATACAAATGTTGCAAACGAAAGTGGAAGGATTGCTTTTAGAGTTTCTCCACACCCAGCACTTGTAGGAACAAGTCGTCGAACGAAATATTACAAGTGATACAAAAGAGTTGGGTTCCAAACGTCGAAAGAACGAACTTTGTGTACACAAACTAACAATGTCCGTATCAGCAAACGAACAGAATTAGACTTCATAGTGATTCTGGTAACATGAGTATGAAGTGTTGATCAACTACCACAATTCCATATGATTTGATCGTTTACATAATTAATCAATAAGGACGGCGTGTTTTTGGTTGTATCGGATGAATTTCGTCTTTTCTGTTTCAATCGGAATAAATATTGCTTTTCTCAACTGCTATATCTGCCTTATAAAATTGTATTATAATTTTTTATCAATGAGATAATCAAAGAAAACAATCGAGTCGGTGGTTCTTAAGACAAATCCAGAATAGGGAAAAGCGATATCTAAATGACGATAGTATAACGATAATGAAACAAGTTTTTAAGGAATCATGACAGACAATAGCGATTATAATCAAGTACGCCAAATTCCCAGACGAGTTAGCTTCTGAGGGTTTGGGAAACTAATCGGGAAATAGGTTAGAACGATGCTGTGGATGTTTTCATTTGAAATATATCCCGAAACATCTTTCCCTTATTTACACTATGAAAAAATCTGTGAGTGAGGAGAAACATGAAAATTCCGACGGATTAGAATGGGATCACCGAATAACTTGTGATTAATAAGCGTAGTATTAAACCGTTCTTTCGAGAAAAGCATTCTTCATTGAGGGATTATTTAGTAAGGTTTTTAACTGATACCTTCTATGATTTAATTTATTCACCATTTTAAGTACGTGAATTAACCATCATATCTATTTATATGCATACACACATAACTAAGGTAATTTTATTTTTGGAATTTAGTTTCATTATCATTATCGTTATTGCTATAAATAGAGAATTAGAATGATTTTTAACTTTACTCATATAATATATCACCGAGAATATTTGCATGATTGGTGCGGGTGCTCACACACACGACGATTAAAACTACATAGCCATATCATGATAAAAAATATTCTCGTTCTTATTCTGCTCTGCTTGTTAAGCCACGCCACGTCAGACGACACAATCGACGAGTCAAGACATGATACCGGTCAATGAACCAGTTTTTTATTGTTGCTTCAATTGTGGTGGCTGCATTCGAGCATTCATCCAAACAAACGAGTTCGTGAATCAACGAGTAAGGTGTGCATGGCATCTTCTCAAATCGGCGTGATTTAATTTCGTTTCTGATGATGATGATGATGATGATGACGACTCGCGTGTTTCTATTCGTCCGAAAATGTTTCAAACATTTTAATTTATCGTAGTCGGTAACCCCACAAATGAAACAAATAGATAAATAGATAATTTCAGCCCATCCAAATCAAGCAACACCGTTATCACCACACACCAACAACCAACCAACGACATGGACCAACGCTACCATTCCTTTCTTGGCATCTACAATAAATGGGAATCGGAATAAAAGAAAAAGTCAACATTTCCTATTCTGCCTGATTTCTCTGTGATATTTCTCCTATTCATTAACCAATGCAATGTAATTCATCCCGCGCACACACGCACACGCACGTACAACAAAATAAAAGAAAGAAAACGGGTTTGTTCTCATACACTCTTGCATTTTTTCTGATTCATAAAAAACAATTGAAATTTCTTTTTTAGGGTTGAAGAATTTCGTAGTATTAATTTCTTTGGGCCGAATGCTTGAAAGACATTCATCGCCATCAAAGCCAACCACCCAAAACCATCGCACAAAGAATATGGTATGAATGAGTGTCTCATTCTACTTCACTAAACCGATTTTTATAAACAAAAAAAAAAACTTAAAAAAGGAACTAGCCGAATAAATACCATCCAATCAGTGCACACCCAATGAGACACACACTCTTCAATAACATGCATGCATTCATCATCGTTTTTTTTTTTTTTTGTTGTGCATTTCTTGCCGAATTAATAAATCGAATAACACACATTACCTATTCAAATATTTATATTACCATCATCACACGAACAAAACAAATTAAAAAAGCATCAGCACAATTATAATAGCATTGCAAAATGACACAAATACAAAATGAATGGGACAAAAAAATGAATGAATGAATCAATCAATTGAATGGGAGTAAAATGAACCAGATATAAAAATCAAATAAGAACTTACTACCCATTTACATATTCCCCTTTTTACAAATCCTATTCATCGTGTTCAGTTCTGTGTCTATTGTTTTCTTCCTGTTACCAAAACATAATTAGAAACTTTTTATCATGCATAGAAAAGAAGCTATTTATTATGCATATCAGTTATTTACGGATGCATGTTTATGATGACAATAAATTTACTACATAATACAGTATATATATCGATATGCGTAATATGTACATAACCCGAACACTTGCAGTGGGCGTATCAATTATTAAAAATCCAACACTTCAGATCTATTGATTAACCGATTGTTTCGCCTCATCCGAGAAATTTGTCCTACGCTTTTACGTACTTTGTTTACCGTCAAAAAAGACTAATAGTTTAAATAGAAACAAACATTATGACAGAAAAATAGCATCATCACGTAAATCTGCTCAAGAAAGGCAAAAGAAGGAAACCGACGCTTCTTTTTAGAAATTTCCGGAAAAAGGAATAAGCTGATTTATTATTATGAATTTCATTCAATTCATTCATTCAATGAATCACAATCCATCGATACATGTACAGATTCCTTTAATAATAGGTAAATTTATTTTTGAAGACGATGATGAGATGATGATAATATAAAGTTTGTTCCCATATTTGGGCAATAGAAAAGAAAAACGCGAAAGTTATTATTTTACTTATTTGACGAAAAAAAATTTATTTATTATCCTATACACTAAGACCATTATAAATCCTAACTATATATCGCTTATTCACTATATTTAATTCTGGATAAAGCAATCATAATCGATTTTGTTTCCAATACGTTAAAACTAACGTATACATAAATAATAATACAAATAATAAATAAAAACCATAAATAAGTGTAGCCTGTACGCCCGCTCTTTTTCTTTTAAATGCCATCGTATTCTCATTTTACTTCCTGTCAAAAAAAAATTCGAACGAGACCATCTAACTAATATTAACACTACTACTATTATTATTATTATTGTTGTTGTTGTTATTATAATTATTATTATTATTATTATTGTAACTAGCTAGTAATAAAAAATATATATTGGTGTTAGTTTTTTCTTTTATCCATTCCATTCGAATCGATTTCACTTTGAACAATATCTAAAATAAATATATTCATCATCATCAAGTAAAACATATAGTAATAGTGAAACCAATATCATTCGACATAGCAAATCTTTCAACAGCAGCAGCAGCAGTAAACAATCAAAATGGAAATCGAAACTTGTGATCCAAAAATTCTCGATATTCAACTTCCCTATCCACCAACCATAACTCCCCGAGAATGTCTCACCACAAAGAAAAATGGCGAGATCCCCACAAAAGCGCCCAATAGTTTTCTGATTTATCGTCGATTATTCCACGAAGAGATTCGCGGTCGAGGTTTTTGCCTACAACAACGAGCGCTCTCTTCGATTATATCACGATCATGGGAAAAACAATCACCACAAGTCAAGAATACTTACAAAGAATTGGCGAGACAAGCGAATCTGGAACTTATCGAAATTCGTAGATTATGTCTGGCCGATACCTCGCTATTGACGAGATCATATCCACAGAAACCATATCGAAAAGGAGTTTCATTCGTTTCGCCAATAATCGGGAAATATCATAGCTCTTCGAGTAATCATATCAATAATAGTAAACATTCCAGTCAAACTAACTTTCGAATTCAAAAGATTATTCCACCAACTTCTACACCACCACCATCATCATCAGCGGTAGAATTAAACAATCAAAAATTCTCTACAAATGCACCGTATCATAATCAATTAATATTACCACACCCAGATTCTCACAAATACCATAATCAACACCGTGCATTTCATCATTCAAATCACTCTTCTGAATCAATGGACTCGGATACAGATGATAATGTTAGTAATCATAGCGACGAGTATCGAAAACCTTCGAGGTCAAGTTTCTTGGATATTGTCTTGAATGACACTTCGGAAGAACCCAGCATAACGAAACGTGTAACACATCATTATCAATATCCAGAAACGACGTCATTCAATAATAATTATAATAATAATTATAATAATTACAATAACAACCACCACTCTAACAATTTTCGTTTCGAATCAAATAATTTGGGATTTCCAACCCCATTTAACAACCATCATAATAATAATAATAATATTAATAATAATAATAATAATAATAATAATAACCATAACCATAATCATCATCATCATCATCATCATCATGAAAGCAATTCATTTGAACAAAAGATAGTGAAATATGAATTTGTTCCAGAAATGCGAAATGAAGTGTCTTCATCGACTGCTGCCATCACCCCTCCTCTTTCCAACACATCGTCGTCATCAGTACATAAAGAACACTTAAAATCCGAAGATATCTGTTCGGAATGTTTCTTGCCAAAAAGCCCCAGTAATGATTGCATTAAAATGAATGAATAAATGAAAAGTAACACAAACATTTAATAACTATGTAATAAGAAATCGATCGGCATGTATTTGTAATTCACAAACACGCACTGCCCATTATTATTAATTGTTAATACTAATCTTGTAAAAAGAATTTGATTCATACGTAATTTAATTTGAGATGAGAATTGATAATTGATGATCGATTGCGTCCGTGAAAGGAAATTTATATTCCATCCTCCACATTTCATCACTTCCCAATAAGGAAGGTTTGATCAGTACTTTTTCTGTTATCGATAAGATTATTGAGTGAGAAGCAATATAAGCGAAGTTTCGGACACGATCATTATAGATTCCATTTATAGATAATGCATGATTTCAATGAATGAATGAATGATGAATGGTTATGCGCTCATATTTAAAAATGTGATATGGAACAAACCAAAAGAATGCTAGTTTAGTGATATGTTTGGTGTGTGTATGTATGAACTTCATGTGCCTTTCTTCTCTGTCCGTTTTCTTTTTTCTCATTTATTGATACGTAACACCCGATCACACAATGCAAATTAGAATGTTGTGTCATACATTTGTTGCTACCAGTGAGGTCATAATTGGGGTGTGTATCCGTTTTTCATATCAATATGAAAAAATGTGTCAGTTAGATAGTATGCATAAGAGAACAAAGTCACCACTCGGAAAATAATTTTATTTATAGCCTCATCAAATCATATTCTATACACATACGTACATGTATATTGATCGATCCAACGAAACAAAGATTGTACATGTGCTACAAAATTTCCAAATCATTATTAAATTAAAGATTTTTTTTTAGTTTAGCATCTAATTTTCATTTTACAATTACCATTTTCACCCGTATTTTCTTTATTGCTATCTATTTTTCATCAACGGATAATATAAATAACAAAGATGTCTGAAGAACAAAATCAAAAACCATCCATAAATCCTTTATTTGCTGCGTTTACTGAAGATGAGAGAAGCGCTGTCGCGCAATTAAAGAATAAATTAGATGGGATATTGACCCTTGCTGTAGCGCCTGAAGATTATTCTCTTTGGGGAATTCCATTGGATAAAGAATCATCTGATGAACGACTAGAAGTTCTCTTGATAAAGTTTTTAAGAGCGAGGTGAGTTTTGTTAATTCGTAAATGACACGTTAAACTCAGATTAAGCTTAATATATAATTCTCTGAATGGCATAGAAATCTTGATGTCGCGGAAGCTCAAGTGATGCTGACTAATACAATAAAATGGCGTCTCGAATTCAAAGTTGACGGTATACTTGAAGAGAAATTCGACGAGGCAATATTCCCTGGGAGGATCGGATTTATTCATGGCCTTGACATTAAAAATCGTCCAGTCACTTATAACCTGTACGGCGGTCTCGATAATCAAAAAGTATTTGGGGACGTGGAAAAATTCTTGCGATGGCGTGTACAGTTAATGGAACGTGGAATCGAAGAACTGGATTTCGTAAATGTGGATCAAATGATACAGGTTCATGATTACGAAGGGATCGGGTTGGGATCGCATGATAAAACAACCAAGACTGCAAGTAAAAAGGTCACGCAAGTTATGCAAGATAATTATCCGGAATTTTTGGTATTTCTTGTTTTTTACCCTTCATTCTTGTGATACGTAATGGAATAATAATTGTTTTCTCCGTTTTCTGTTATGCACACAGGCTGTTAAATTTTTCGTAAATGTACCTTGGTGGGGCGACCTTGTATTTAAGTTTATTTCGGTCTTTCTTGCCGAACAAACGAAAAAGAAATTTGTTGTCACTTCAGCGAGTAATGTCAAAGAACACATGACAAAATATATCACCGAAGAAGAATTACCCACCAAATATGGTGGGATAGGTGTTGTTCCTGAATTGGAAATCGCAACCTTTAATGGCGGAGCGGAAGTAGACGATGGTGCCAAAGAATCAACGCACTAATATTCAATAAACATCGTTTTTATTGCTTTCTTTAAAAATCAAAGCTTCGGTTTCTCGTCTTTGTTATTTAGGATTAAAGACATTTATTTGGTACTTTTTTAGCGTAATATAATAATAAAAGACATTTATTTATTCAAATTAATAATAGAGGAGACATTTTTTCAATTAATATTTTTAGCATTAGCATTTAAAGTAATCATAGAAAACAAGTAATTACATCACTAATAGACAAAGAGAGAGGTAATTAGTTATTTTGTGTCCAGATGCGCATTATCTTGGCGTCGTTTTCCTTTCCCATTTCACTTACATTCATATCAATCGCGCGGGTCCAAAAATAGAAAACAAGGAATAAATGAAGAAATACAAGTTAATAAAAATCGTCCATGATTGAATTCAGAAAGGAATCACCAACGAGTCTAAGCCACGTCTCGGTCTAATTAAGACCCAAAAAAAGTTATTGTGACTGAATTATCTCTGACACAAACTACAAATCAACATACACAGTAAACCTTTATCTTTGCATCGACAAAATTTGACTGGACGGTGTATGAAGAAAAATCCTCTTTAGTCGAAATTAGAGTCCAACACTGAGCTAGTCAACTTAAGAGGTTTACCGTGTAATATAAAAGAGAAATGAAACGAACTTTAGATCATTGTATTGGTACAATTGTCGAAGGTCCTCGTTAAGACGTAATGTGCTCGAACATGTTGACTACTTTATTTTTAATTCTGGTGCTAAAATTGTTGAACCGACTAAGTTTGCAATTTTGACTTCTAAAAAAACGAAAGTCAGTCATCAGACTCGATTTTTAAATTAATAATGCACGTATTTTTTTTTAATTTATTTTTATTATAGAATATAATAAATGAGTGTCAGTAAAAACAAAGAAACCGATTTTTAAGGAGTTTTTATGTTAAACAATAGAAAGAAATATGCAAATTGTTGGTACATGTATTAGCGATTAAGTGCACTTTGTTTTATTATAAAAAATTTTTTAACGCGTGTCTGCAGGACTATCGCTATAATCCAAGTTTTTTAATGCTTACTAAATGTTGCACTTTTACAATACATGTACTCAACATAAATACGTGTAATGAGAATCTTTTACTTTATTATGTTTCTCAGCTGTTAAAAAAAATGGTTGTGCAATTATAATATTACCACAATCGTTTTGTCTCAAGAAAAATACTGTAAAGCCAGAAAATACATGTTAGAGATTTGATTTTCTTTCAATATTCAGGATCGTTATCACTGTGTGCCTTTTCAATATACCCTTCTAATGGTTCCATCATAGGAAAATTACTAAATGCTACGCGAAAAGACAAATATTCAGTTACCGCCCAAGAATTATTAATCTCTATCTCTAAAATCTGCTAACAAAAAACATGCATCAGAAATTTTACAATGAAAAAATATATACGTATTCTTTAAGTTTCGAAAAACTTACTAGGTTAAGATATTATATACTGGCTATGGTTAAACCAGCCATTACCGCTATGTATAAACCGGCTCAGAAATTTTGGTTTTATTGTAAATCACTATAAACCGGATTTTTTGAAAGTTTGCACTATAGAACAGTTTATCGTTATTATTAGTTTAACAATATATAAGTAATTGTTAGCAATATACTAAAAATTTTGTTATGCAATTTCAAAACTTGTTTTTATAATATGAATATCATACGTATTTGAGTATATATTAAAAAAATCCTTTTTATTACAATTTTTAAAATTGCTTATTTCTTGGAATTATTTTATTATATTATTATATAAATGATAATAAACAATTTGTTAAGTATGTTGAATATAAGGTCACTGATAAAAAAATTGGTTCTTAATATCTGACTGGATTAGCCAAGTCAAAAAAATATTATTTATTATATGTATATAATGTGACACTGGGTAGTTGATGACAACATTGTATATTTCACTGAGCATACACCATCAATACCAGAATACCGATAACTTACAGAACCAGAATCATCTAAAATCATCTGAAATAATGCATCTTATAATAAATGATATATTTTATTAATAAAAAATAATAACAGAAAAAGAGGGATAATAATTATAGAATAGAGCAAATTACTTATAAAGTAATTTGATAAAAAAATAAATTGTACTTAAAAATTATAATTAAGTCATTAGATATTTTTATAATCAAATAAAAATAAAACTTACTTTGAATCTCTGATTACAACTTATAAATAATAAAAAATATATAATAATTTTTGTCAGTTAATTGAATTATTATTTTAGCTAATTGTATAATTTAAGAACCAATTTTTTTATTATAAATTATAATAATTTTTTATCATTTTATATGAAAAAAATTATTATTATTTATATTAAAAACTAGATTATTAGAAAATAAATACAAATTAATAAATATCACTTTTATATAATATTAATAATTTTTTAATTTTATAACTTATAGTAGTAATTAATAGTAAAATATATTTTTTTCTTATATAATAATTTTTTATTTTATTATTAATATTTTTAAATATGTTAAAATATGAATTATAATTTTTATTTTAATATAAAATAAAAATATTAATTAATAAAAATTAATTAATAATACAAAAATTATGAAATTATATATAGTAACTAATAAAATTATAAAATTATGCATATAATTTTATTAATAAAATATAATAAAAATTAAAATATTTGTTTTATATAAAAGTTTTTAATTTTATTAATCATTATTTTTTATTTTTATATTAAAATAATAACTATAAGTTATAGTTTAACATGTATTTTTTCTGGTTCTTTTAGATTTTTTATAATTAAAATATAAAATTAATTATAAAAAATTTTTGTAATAACTTTGCAATTAAAATAACTTTGTTAGAAAAAATTTAAAAAATCTAGAAAATATATATATTAAATTTTAATTTATAATCTTTGTTTTAATATAAAAAATAAAAAATATTTATTAATAAAATTAAAAAATTTTATATAAAACAAATATTTCAATTTTTATTATATTTTATATATAGTCAAATCTCTCTATAATTATCACCTTCATAAAAGCAAACTTTGATATCTATTGTTGTATAATGGAATTTCACATTAATTATTAGTCAAAATTATCATT